CAGGAAGTCGGCCATTTTGGGTTGAAATGGCGATTTTTTGCCGTTTTTGCCGTTTTTAGGGTCCGTTTCTGATTGGATTGCTCGATCATTTTTCGCACGATCGTCTCAAAAATTGTGTAAAATTGCTCAGAAGGGATGGGCGAACAAAATGAGATAAGGATTCTGAGTTTTCGTATATGTTGAAGGGGCGGAGCCAGGCCTCGAAGTTTGACTACTCGCCAAAAATATTTAAATTGCTATAACTTCATAACTGAATGGAATAGAGTTACCAAACTTTCTGTGGTCATTCGTCATCCACCCACAAAGTAAACTGAAAGGTCGGATGATGACATCACACAAGCCCCGCCCCCTCAGGACCAAAAAGATCAAGTTTTACTGTGAAAGGTCCCAAATTGCCCCATTTCACTTAATCACCACAAATTTGTAGCTGGTAACTCAAGACAAGTGGGGGTTGCTTGGCGTCACTTTATGGGAGTTTTCGGCAGAGGGTGGGGCTGTGGCGGCGCGGCGAATTCAGGCGTACCGCCTTGGCCTTACGTTTGCCTCCCATTTCGTCATTTCCAAAGATATCGTCACGAAACTTCTTGTGAGTGATCCTAGTCCGGCCCCCCAAAAGATCTGATGTGAACATCTGGTGGGCGTGGCCTATTTTCTGAAATAGCGCCCCCTAGGACCATTAAAACTGTCAGCCCCAAGCCATGCTTTGACTGAGGATTACGAAATTTGGTACACTAATGTGGTGTCTCAGGACCTACAAAAAAGTCTCTTGAAGCCAAGTGCAAAGTCGCACAGGAAGTCGGCCATTTTGGTCCAAGTGCGCGATTTAGTGGTTTTCACACACGTTGTTTGGAGAGTGATACTCCGTCGCCCTTTTCACCAATCACTTTCAAACTTCTGCTATATAGTCTTAAGACATAGAGGAAAAAATTCAACCGTCGGATTTTTCAAAAGTTGAAAGGTGTGGGCGTGGCTAAGCCTCAAACTTTGACCTGTCGCCGCACCACTCTTTTTTTCACAGCTCCCTACTGGACTCCTTTTACCCAATCAGCAGGAGTCTCTGGCAAATAGCAGTAGACAACTTGAGGTCACTTGGTATCCAGTACTGGAAGGTTTCAAAAAAAGGCAGGGCTTTGGGAGCATGGCGAAAATCGCCATCACGCCATGGAAATACGTTTGCCTCTCATTTCTTCATTTATCGTGATATCGTTACGAAACTTCTGGTGAGTGATCCTAGTCTGACCACAAAGAGACATAGACAGCTGAAATATGTGGGCGTGGCCTAATTTCTGAAATAGCGCCCCCTAGGACCATTTAAACTAATAGCCCCAAGCCATGCTTTGACTGAGGATTACGAAATTTGGTACACTAATGTGGTGTCCCAGGACCTACAAAAAAGTCTCTTGGAGCCAATCACAAAATTGCACAGGAAGTCGGCCATTTTGGTCCAAGTACGCGATTTAGTGGTTTTCGCACACGTTGTTTGGAGAGTGATGCTCCGTCGCCCTTTTCACCAATCGCCTTCAAACTTCTGCTATATACTCTTAAGGCATAGGGGAAAAAATTCAACCGTCGGATTTTTCAAAAGTTGAAAGGTGTGGGCGTGGCTAAGCCTCAAACTTTGACCTGTCGCCGCGCCACTCTTTTTTTCACAGCTCCCTACTGGACTCCTTTTACCCAATCAGCAGGAGTCTCTGGCAAATAGCAGTAGACAACTTGAGGTCACTTGGTCTCCAGTACTGGAAGGTTTCAAAAAAAGGCGGGGCTTTGGGAGCATGGCGAAAATCGCCAGCACGCCATGGAAATACGTTTGCCTCTCATTTCTTCATTTATCGTGATATTGTTACGAAACTTCTGGTGAGTGATCCTAGTCTGACCCCAAAGAGACATAGACAGCTGAAATATGTGGGCGTGGCCTAATTTCTGAAATAGCGCCCCCTAGGACCATTTAAACTATTAGCCCCAAGCCATGCTTTCATTGAGGATTACGAAATTTGGTACACTAATGTGGTGTCCCAGGACCTACAAAAAAGTCTCTTGGAGCCAAGCACAAAATTGCACAGGAAGTCGGCCATTTTGGTCCAAGTACGCGATTTAGTGGTTTTCGCACACGTTGTTTGAAGAGTGATGCTCCTTCGCCCTTTTCACCAATCGCCTTCAAACTTCTGCTATATACTCTTAAGGCATAGGGGAAAAAAGTCAACCGTCGGATTTTTGTAAAGTTGAAAGGTGTGGGCGTGGCTAAGCCTCAAACTTTGACCTTTCGCCATTACTTGACTTAATAACTCCCATGTGCATGATCAGATCTTTTTCGAACTTTGTCTGTGTGATCATTGACCATATCTGTAAACAATGACAATGTGGACAGCTGACATCATCTAAGCCCCGCCCCCTGACTAAAGGAAGTTATTATTTTATGCTGAAATGCCCATATTTGTCCCCTCTAATTTAGTCAACATGACACCTAGGTCATGCACTGTCTTCATGATGCTGTAATGGCCATTCAAATCTGATAGCTTTCCAGAAAGGGAGGGGCTTTGATGCCATGGCGAATTCTGGCGTAACGCCGTAACCTTACAATTCAATTTAATGGTGAGCTCAGAGGGGATGCTTAGTCAGGGTGAGGTGCGGACTAGGAGGCCATTTGCTGTTTCCGGTGACGGGATGATTGACGTTTCTGTTCTGCCACACATGCCCTGGTGCCCCGGGCTGCCGGCCAGGCCGGAGCGGCGCGGAGCTGCGAGGGCCGAACGACGCTGCTTGCAGCTTTAATTATTATTATTTTTTTTTTCTTCCGCGTCTTTGGGTGGCCTTTAGGGGGTCTTAGCATATCCAAAAACTCACCAAATTCTGGCCCAATATAGAAAGTGCGTGAAATTTACGTATTTCAGTGGCAATGTGAAAGTTCATAAAAAAGTGGCTGAACAGCGCCCTCTAGAAAGTGAAAAATACCCCTCTCCATTAAGCTTAATTTATCGTACAGTTATGAAATTTGGTTTACTTGTAGTACTCAACAGTCCGCACAGAAAAGTCTCTTGCAACCATGGTCAATATCAAACAGGAAGTCGGCCATTTTGGGTTGAAATGGTGATTTTTAGACGTTTTGGCCATTTCTAGGGTCTATATTTGGTTGAACAGTTTGGTCATTTTTCGCACGATCGTCTCAAAAATAGTGTGCGATCGAACAGAAGCGATGGACGATTAAAATGAGACAATAAAATTGACTTTTCGTAAATACTGAAGGGGCGGGGCCAGGCCTCAAAGTTCGAGCACTCGCCAAAAAAATTCAAATTGCTATAATTTCATAAATGAAAGAATTACAGTTAAAGTAACTTTCTATAGACAATCGGCATCGCCCCCCGAAGACAAATGAATGTTCTATTGATGATGTCACATAAGCCCCGCCCCCTCAGGACTTAAAAGGTCAAGTTTTACTGGGAAATTTTCAAAAATTCGCCCTTTCAAATAATCATCCCAAATTTGTAGCAGGTAACTGAAGACAAGTTGGGGTTTCTTGGCGTCACATTATGGGAGTTTTCTGCAGAAGGCGGGGCTCTGGCGGCGCGGCGAAGTCAGGCGTACCGACGTGGCCTTACGTTTGCCTCCCATTTCGTCATTTCTAGAGATATCGCCACGACACTTCTTGGGAGTGATCCTAGTCCGGCCCCCAAAAGAATCTAATGTGAACATCTGGTGGGCGTGGCCTATTTTCTGAAATAGCGCCCCCTAGGACCATTAAAACTGTCAGCCCCAAGCCATGCTTTGACTGAGGAGTACGAGATTTGGTACACTAATGTGGTCTCTCAGGACCTACAAAAAAGTCTCTTGGAGCCAAGTGCAAAGTCGCACAGGAAGTCGGCCATTTTGGTCCAAGTACTCGATTTAGTGGTTTTCGCACACGTTGTTTGGAGAGTGATGCTCCATCACCCTTTTCACCAATCACCTTCAAACATCTGCTATACACTCTTAAGACATAGAAGAAAAAATTCAACCATCGGATTTTAAATAAGTATAAAGGTGTGGGCGTGGCTAAGCCTCAAACTTTGACTTGTCGCCACGCCACTCTTTTTTTCACAGCTCCCAATTGGACTCCTTTTACTCAATCACCAGCAATCACTGGCAAATAGCAGCAGACAAGTTGAGGTCACTTGGTCTATAGTACTGGCAGGTTTCGAATAAAGGCGGGGCTTTGGGAGTATGGCGAAGTTTGCCATCATGCCATGGAAATACGTTTGTCTCTCATTTCTTCAATCATTGTGACATCACCACACAATTTCTGATGAGTGATCCTACTCTGACACCTAATAGAAATGGACAGCTGAAGTTTGTGGGCGTGGCCTATTTTCTGAAATAACGCCCCCTAGGACCATTAAAACTGTCAGCCCCAAGCCATGCTTTCACTGAGGAACACGAAATTTGGCACACTAATGTGGTGTCTCAGGACCTACAAAAAAGTCTCTTGGAGCAAAGTGCAAAGTCGCACAGGAAGTCGGCCATTTTGGTCCAAGTACTCGATTTAGTGGTTTTCGCACACGTTGTTTGGAGAGTGTTGCACCATCGCCCTTTTCACCAATCGCCTTCAAACTTCTGCTACATACTCTTAAGACAAAGGGGGAAAAATTCAACCATCGGATTTCAAATAAGTATAAAGGTGTGGGCGTGGCTAAGCCTCAAACTTTGACCTTTCGCCATTACATTCCTTGACTTAACAACTCCCATGTGCATGATCAGATCTATATCAAACTGTGTCTGTGTGATCATTGACCACATCTCAAGACAATGACAATGTGGACAGCTGACATCACCTAAGCCCCGCCCCCTGACTACAGGAAGTCGATTTTTTCATGGTGAAATGCCCATATTTGTCCCCTCTAATTTAGTGAACATGACACTAAGGTCATGCACTGTCTTCATGATGTTGTAATGACAATTCAGATCTGCTAGCTTTTCAGGAAGGGAGGGGATTTGATACAATGGCGAATTCTGGCGTGACGCTGTGACCTTACGTTTGACTGTAACTTCCACAAACAGCCTCCGATTTGCCCGAGACTGAACATCACATCACCAGTTTGGTAAAGATAGAGTATCTCCTAGTGGTGAGACGTGTAATGGTGGGCTCAGAGGGGATGCTGAGTCAGGGTGAGGTGTGGACGAGGAGGCCGTTCACGGTTTCTGGTGGCGGGGTGGTTGACTTTCTGTTCTGCCAGACGTGCCCTGGTGCCCCCGGCTGCCGGACAGGATGGAGAAGCGCGGAGCTGGGTTTGGAGAGGGTCGGGGATGGAGCGGAGGGGGTGCGGAAGGAGGGCGAGCAGCTTCGCTGCGAGGGCCGAACGACGCTGCTTGCAGCTTTAATTTGAATTGCTTTTATTTTTGATTTATTCACCATATTTAACTTTCTCTTGTACCATGTTCAGCGCCTTGGGCTTCTCGACAGGGTTGCGGAAGGCGCTTTATAAATAAAGCTTTAATTGATTGATTGAAATGAGACAAAATAGATAAAAACTCTGCTCATGGATACAAGTTGCATTTGTTATACATGTTTGAACAAAAAAGGAACAATAATCATCTAACACTGATAACAATAAAATATATATGAAACTAATTTCTGCTCTCTAAGCTTCACAGCCAGCCACATGGTGGCACAGTGACACAAAGGTCAAATGTTTGAATCCCAGCTGGCTGAAGCCATTCTGTCTGGAGTTCTCCCCAAGCGTGTGGGGGCTTCCTCCCACAGACCAAAAACATGCAGGTTGATTGGAGACCCTAAATGTTCCCTAGGTTTGAGTGTGTTTGTGTTTGACTGGTTAATTGTCTCTATGTGTCCTTTATGGGAGACCTGTTCAGGGTCTCTCCTGCCTGTTGCCCAGTGAATGCTGAGGATAGACACTATCTCCCTGCAACTGTAGTGATAAAGGCGCTTCAGAAAAAGAGTGAGTGGTTGAATTTGTCAGCTCATTTGTTTGAAATAAACAGATTCTAAGTCAGAAAGAGTCAGAAATGACCATATGGTTGGAGGAATTTACCCAAAGGTTGTGTGGGAACATAATGGTATACCTGTTTCCAGTCTTGTTCGGCTACTGTTCTTGGGAACTTGCCTGTGGGGGTTCTAACATGCATTCCTTTAAAGATTTAAATGCATTTGGGAGCGACAGGGCAGGGGCTTTAAAATCCACCTGTTCAGAGACACCTGTCAGTGTGCTACAGAGAGCCTGCAAGACATCCCTCAACTGTTTCTGCATCATCAGAGACAATTCTGCAAAGACCATGGGACTCGTCAGCACATCGAACTCAGGTACAGCTGACCTCGACTTAAGGGGCATTTATGTTAGTTGCTGTTTTTCAGTCAGACCAGTTGTATTTCTTAAATATTTCAACCAAACAGATGGAAATCTGATTCAAGGATCTTGCACTGAAAAATTCCTGCATATCAGGTATGATGATGATGTGAAGTCCAGCTAAAAAGGTGCCTGATGCTGGATATTTTAGTTGTTTCCCTTTTCTTACCTGATTCACTGGTTGAAACCTCCAAAGCATGAAGGATAGAAACCCAGAACAGGAGAGAAACCACTAAAACAACTGCCCTCTGATCAATGACTGTTGAGGAGTTTTATTATTTATTTATTTTTGCCCAGAGCAGCAGAATTCAAATTTAAAATGTGACATAAAAGAGTCTTCTTGGATAAAATCAAAGGACAAAATTGTCCCTCTCGAGTCCCCTACTCATTATCTTAGACTGAGACAACAAACAAAAAAAATCTGTTTTATTTACAAAAAATAAAATGGAACGGTCAAATATGCCACAAATTTAAACTAATGTCTCATGACACTGAGGAAGAAGGCTCTATGTTCAAACCATCCAGACAACGTGCTTTACAGATGATCAAGGCTGAAATATTTACTCAGCTTTTATTAAGTATATTTATTAAAGCAACAAATGGTTCCCATGCGCGGCTGTGTCTGCAGCTCACTGCTCCCCCAGGGGACGGGTCAAATGTGGAAATCTCATGCAGCTGAAATTCACTCAGGGGTGTGTCCAGGGAGTGGCCTGGGGTAGCACATGCCACCCAACTGAGTTTTGTTCACAAAGGTTTGAGGTTATAAACCTTGGGCAAGTACATTGGTTTCTAGCTCTGTATTATTGTTATTTGTTATTTATTTCACATTGTCATGAGTAATAGCAAGTTGGCTGAATGGTTAGCGTGCGTGACTCACCTGGGAGTCTGGGGATCGAATCCCGCCTCTCCACCTTGCCACATTAACAAGAAGCATTCGTGCGTTTCCAATGTACAAACAGCAACAACAACAACACACCCAGGAAATAGTCACGACAGCGTCCAGGTGACTTCATCCAAGGAAAACATAACTGCACCTTGTTTGCTTTTACTTTTCTGAGTGTGATCCAACAAAAAGTCAAACTGGTTTCTACCTTTAACTCCTACCTGTGGCCTGTAGAGTGACATGGAGCCATTCAGACTTTTTAAATAAACCAGAAAAACACAAAACGATTTTTCCATTTTCCACTTTCTCTAAATTCCTTCCAGGACAAAGAAAGGAATTCTGTGAACAGGATTATTAAGAAACGTGTCTTAAAATCTTCTTAACCAGTGGTTCTCAATCTGGGGTCCGCAACCCCTGCAAGGGGGGGCCCACAAGATGGTGGTGACTGTCAAGATAATACTTGTAAAAATTACTTTTATAAAATCCCAAAAACACACCCAATAATGTAATTGAGACTCTGTATAAGAGTTGTAACTCTGAACGTGTGTATAAAGTTTGTAATTAATCACTTCAGATGTGTGTATGGCGTGAGAGTTGGGGGTCCCTGGCTTGTCTTGGACACAAGCAAGGAGGTCCTCGTGGAAAAAATGTGGGAATCACCATTCCAAGCCAACTCTCGTCTTGTGCTGAAACAAAGCTCACATGATGCATCTGTGGGCAGATTTAGTTGTGTTTATCTCTTAAACCAAATTTAGATGAGATTTGTGTTTCTGTGGACATGTGCCAGTCCTAGACAGCAGGAGGGGCCCAGTGTGTGAGGTGTGTGTGAGGTGTGTGTCATGACATTTTCCTTTGCTGTTCTTTAACAACACTCCTCATTCTCACACTTACTGTACTTTCCTCGCTGGAACATTAGTCAAGAATGCATTAAATCACCAACCCGCCCTGATGTCTGCCACAGTTGTGAAAGCTTCACCAGATGTGGAAAGTTCATTGACAAGAATCCAGAACTTTCTACAACATGTCTTCATCTGCCTGCAGCCTCGTAAAATCATGCATGACTGGTTGAGTGAGAAGCTCGGTCATTCGGGAGGGGCTCTGAGTAGATCCGCTGCTCCTCCTTATCGAGAGGAGCCAGTTGAGGTGGCTCGGGCATCTTGTTAGGATGCCTCCTGGACGCCTCCCTGGTGAGGTTTTCCGGGTATGTCCAACTGGGAATAGACCCAAGGAAAGACCCAGGACCTGGAGGGACTCGCGGCTGGCGAGGGAACGCCTTGGGATTCCCCCGGAAGAGCTGGTCCAAGTTGTTGGGTAGAGGGAAGTCTGGGCGTCTCGGCTCAGGCTGCTGCCCCGCGACCCGACCCTGGATAAGCGGCTGAAAAGGGATGGATGGTTCATGAAGACAGTTCCGTTTAATTACTTTATGCCCAGTTACAGAATTTTTTTACTATTTACTATTGTTCAAGCAAAAATTAAAACTTGTCATTTTAATCTCTGCAGTCTAACTCTACAGTCAGTTAAGACTTATTTAAGGTGTTTTCTGTGTTTTATTGTAGTTTTTAAGGGAGTGGACCTCCACAGCAGGACCAACAACACTGAGCACCACACCAGTGAGATCTCTGTGGATCAGCTGATTGTGAGGCGAGGCCAGCCCTTCATCCTGACCCTGAAACTGGCTCAACCTTTCAACCCTGACCTGGATCAGCTCACCATGACAGCTGAGACAGGTTTGTGCCTTCTTCTCAGGCTGAAGCTGCGCCTGATTTCACAAGTGTGACAAGTTAGGACTCCATGCAGAGGTCTTTTACTGCATGGATGTATAAAGTGGAGTTTTGTGTCTGACTCAGTGGCTCCTCATCACAGGAAACTATCCATCTGAGACCCGGGGGACGATGTCACGCTTTGGTGTCCCAAACAAAATTCCAGCTTCAGCATCCTCTAAGGCGGTGTGGAAGGCAGAACTTAAGAAGGGTTCTTCTCCTGAAACAGGAAGCTTGACTCTGACCATCAAACCCCCAGCAGATGCCCCCATAGGGGAATACAAGCTGTCTGCTAAACACAAGGAGGAGAAGCAGGTGCTGGCTAACCTGTCGGTGCTCTTCAACCCCTGGTGTTCTGGTAGGTTTGTGATCTCTGTCCAACTGTGGTTCATTGATCTGTATCAGCTGTGTAATGTCCAGAAAAGGTCAGTTGTCACCTACAGATTGACCTACATGCCACCGGTCATCTTCAGACATGAATTCCATTCTCTAAGGTGGATTTTACATTCTATCTCCCAACAAGCCCAGACGATTCTGCAGCTCGGAACACATGATAACACATAGTCAACAAACTGTTTCCGTTTCAAGGCCTAAGCTCCCCTTATCGCTTCTACAGGATTCCTCATGTCTCTGAATAAAGTGACTATTTTCAGCTCATAAGTTAAATAATCATTAAATAATAATATGGTTGAATTAACAAATGTTATATGAATACTAATGAAATGTTTTGATTAATCTGTGCCTAATTCAATGAAGTTGAAATGAATTTTATTATCACAATGAAACATTTTGGCTTTATTATCAGTAATGTTTAACAAGTGAATAATTATCTACACTCAGACACAATGTTCATTAGAGATAAATTAAAGTTAAAGTAACGTTACAGCACATAGATATTTTCTTAACGACAAATCAGAGCATCCTGCATCTGAAAGAAGGTGTGACGTTCTGAGGTTTGTTTGTCAACACCCCTTAACATGGCATGTCCCGATTGGCCAAGTAAATCATAATATGAGAATATTTAAACAGAATCACTGGCGGAGACATTCAGCATTCCAGTATTCGAGCATTCTGTGAGATTTAGCATTCTGTTAGTTGAGCTAACTCTGACTGGCCATCGGAGGGAAACTCTGCTCCCATCGCATCTGTTGACAAGCTTTCGACATGCTAAAAGCTGCCTACAGCTGGCACAGCAAAACGGTTCCTTCAAGTATTCAGAAACAGCTGCTCTAGATGCAAACTAGTTCCAACCTGTGTACCTGGTGACATCTCTGGACTGGAGCGTCGGTGCTGCAGTTAATCTACTGAACCTCGGTGCCCAGAGGTCATCCGACCTCCCTGACCTCTGGATCCGCGAAGAGGGTCTCCAAAGAAAGGGTGAGGTAGACACACACAATTGCGCCTGATGACGGTTTGATAAAAACCAACTTCTTAGTTTAATGCAAACCAAATTCTTTTTCACACCCAGAACTCAATTCTTCTAGATACAAGGTTCTGATAAACACACACCATTCAATCACCACATCACATCACATCCACCGATTCATCCATCACAGTAGTCTTGGTTAACTTGTCTTGTTTTTAATTTGTTTAGAAAAACATTTCTTACCTTTTATAAACCTGACTCTGTCTGAATTGATACGAAGTGTGTTTGATCCCTGAAAAAGCAAAGCATCCTAGAATCTTCTGATTAAAGACCAAGCAGGTTGATATTCTATATTTATATAGAATATCACAGCTTATTGGTCATAAGTAAAGGTAACATATTAAGCGTAAAAGCAACAACATTTACCCTCTACAGTAGAGATGAACATCTTAAACATGAGATTTGATAAATTACAATAAGAAGGCAATTTAATGTAGTGGATGGTATCAGAAACGCACGGCATGATCCAATTTATATGTAGTAATATAAAAATTAGAAACTGTTGTTGATGTTTGGACTGATCAAGGATCTATATTTACCCCCCTACAGCTCTTTAGATGTTTTCATGTTTCTTTTGTCTGCAGACGACTGGGTGTTCCAGCCTGTTGATGCACAGAGACAAGAGTATGTCATGAATGAACACGGGGTCATTTACAGAGGAAATAACAGTCAGATTTCTCCATGTCAGTGGGATTTTGCACAGGTACAAGGACACACACACACACACACACACACACACACACACACACACACACACACACACACACACACACATTTATAATGGCAATATATTGATTCCTAAAAATAATGGTCAACTTTTTGTGAGTAATATCCAGTGTCGCTCACTTTCTGTCCAGTTTGAGGAGAACATGGTGAAAATCTGTCTGAAGATTCTCGACCTCAGCGTCAAATACAAGCGTGACCCAGCTGGTGATGTTTCTGCTCGCTGTAACCCCATCTACGTCGGCCGCATCATCACCAACATGGTGGGTTGCATGTTTCCTAAACAGGTTTTCTTCTTGTAAACAGAAACATTTAAAACCCAATTATACCAAGCTGTGCTGGAATTTGTTTTTGTACTTTTTAAAAATAAATAGATAAATAAACAATGATAATAGTAAAGCTGATAGAAGGAGGTAACAAACACCTCATGTCAAGTTCAACATTGTTATCAGAACTTTGCAAATGTTCCATTTATCGTTTCCCAACATCAAGATGAAGAAATTTGAACAGGTGATTTAATTCCTTTTCTTCCAGATTCACAATGAAAGCACATTTGGCGTCCTGGAGGGGAACTGGAGTGGTAACTACAGAGGTGGGATGAACCCCGCTTACTGGAGCAACAGCTACACCATCCTCAAGCAGTGGTACGACACATACTACAAAACGGTCAAATACGGACAATGCTGGGTGTTCGCTAGCGTCATGTGTTCAGGTAACAGCTGACTGTGTCACTCTTTCTTTCATGCACAATAGTTTTCATGTGGACGGGTGGAAGGCCATGCACACTTTGCTGGGTTTTTGTAAAACCAAATTTCCTGCCAACCCATCTAAGAAAATAACTTGTGTTTTCAGCCTGAAAGATCTTGAACATTTGCGTTGTGGCTCACGTTCATAGGCATTCCAAGCCTATAGGTGGCAGAAGTTCCCCAAATCAGTGGCATGTTTGCCTAAAACATTCTTCTGATACAAACATTTCTACATGAATAAAATAGAAAGCTAAATTTATTTTCGGCTTCCATGAACAGGTTCACAGAGAAACTCTGTGATAGTCTACTTCTATTTCCTGCATTAGCTTCTGATAGAAAAAAGATAGCTAGTAGAAGCTAACCGTTAGCGTTAGCAAGTCCACCACATGGCAGAACGCCTACAGATATGAGGAGATAAAACATCAACGTTGCAGAGCAAACAGAGTTTGTGGTTGAGTAATTGTGCTGTTAGCCAATCAGAGGCAAGATGTCCGAGATGTCAGGAGAAATGACTTCAAATCCTGCCATCTTCTGTTCCCCTCTGCCCTGGCTCACTTCGAGTTCCTGAAACAGGAGCACCAGAGCTTATTTCTGACAGAAATCGACTCACAAGGCATTAATTTATACTAGAGGCCGCTGCGGATGTGTTGATAATACAAGTAAACTGGGTCTTTAAACCTGATTTGATTTAAAAGTGATGTGTAGCAAAACTGAGTTTTACTCATTGTTATTCATCAACCCTACAGTACAAAATCAATGAAAGACCAAAAGGGCCAAAAACCACTTGTAAGAAAGGAATCAGTTAAACGTAAAGGCAGTAATTCCATATGTTAAACACTTAAATGAACACTAATAATGGATACTAACAAGAACACTGCCTGTTTGGTTCCAGTGATGCGCCTGCTGGGTATTCCCTGCCGTGTCGTCACCAACTTCGAGTCTGCTCATGACACTGACAGCAGCCTCACAATCGACACCTACTTCACTGATTGTGGTAGAGCGAAACCATCTGGAGACAGCGTCTGGTGAGAGGCTCAGATTTTCTACAGTAATGAGTTGGATTTGCAATAATGATGGGAATTTGCATAAAGAAAGATGACTTCCTTTTAAAGCCACAACTTTTTCATATTTTTAAATCATTTTCTTGAGCCATGTGCTAAAATACCCTTTACAAGGTTAATTAAATGTCACTCAGACCCCACTGTCCCTGTGGCCAGACTACTGCATTTGCAACTTCAGAGTTGCTGGTTCGGTCCCTGTTGGTGGGGGGAGCTGTGGAGGGAAATGGAGCTGACATGTTTCCTACTTGTTTTAGATCGTGAACACAGCTGATTTGTTTGATCTGGTGATGAATCACTCCTGTAGACACTAATAAACGCTGAGGAGACATTTCAGCTGGAAGATCGATGTGTTAAAAATGTGGGCACAGCAAGGAGATTAATCTGATTTTCGGATTAACCACAGTGAATTAATAACAGACACTTAGAGGGAGCTAAAAGCAAGCTAAACTGCCTAGTAGCCGTTTAAGGTGCACATAGATCGGTGCACGTCATGTTACTTTTGTTTTTTAATGAAATATTTAATTAAACTAATCTTCATCAAGTTTAATCCATTTCTGATTTGCTATCATTTAAGAACATACTTTTAGTTTTAGTTGGGAAAAAAAAAAGTCAGTCGGCTTTAGTATTCACCAGAAAGTGGACTCTTTCATCTGCTTTAAAGCAACAATTCGTGAAATTTTGGGATAATATTCCCAGTAATATGCAGACAGCACACAGTTTGGAGCCTGTAATAATTTTTCTGGTCAAGGCTGATATTTCTACTTCCTGGTTCTGCTGGAGGTCACTTCCTGTTCAAAGGGATGTTGATCCTTACCTTTCCCCTTCCATCTCAGGCATGTTCAAGACTTAATCAAAGTTGGCCCGTGTTCACCAAAAGTCTGAATGTTTTGTACTTCAAAAACTCACCTTTTGCATTCTTTTGTGTTGCCATGTGGGTCTCTACTGCCTCTATAAACTCACAAACGTGAAAAAAAATACACCTTTTTTTCTGGCTGCCTTTGGTCTTAGAAATGATGTATGAGCAGAAGCAGCTCTACTCTGTGCCCCTCCTGGATATTGGAGGTTCTCAGCTTATAGCAGCCTGACTGCCACCTTTCTAGGTGGGCGTGGCCAGCTGAAGCTTCTTTTCTTAAAGTGAAAGAGCCCTGAAACAGGCCCATTCTGGAAGGTTCTGGTAAAGAATAAAACTGCTGAAGTTGTTTTATATAAGGATAAGGATTTTGTGCAGAGAACTTCAAACACATGTTTTTTTAACTATAGAAATATTAGAACTTAACAAATAATTTCATGGTGATAAGGAACTTCCACGTTTGGGTCGAGGCCTGGATGAGGAGACCCGACATTGCCAACAACGGCAAATATGATGGTTGGCAGGTTCTGGATCCGACACCACAGGAAAAAAGTGAAGGTAAAGACTATGTGCTCTGTTATTTTACTGATTTAATTTCATTTATATTTTCTACCGAAAGCTGGTTAGACTGATTTATTTATTGCTACGGTGGCAAACTTCTGAGAGTCATCTTGACTCGCTGCAGTGACATTTCTGCATATTGGACCATCCTGCTGCATCAGTTCTGCTGTTTGAATTTCTTTGAAAGCACCTCTGTAAGCTGGTCATTTTCATGAATGGACTATCAGAGGAGCTGAGGCATTTATTTTTTTGTCCAGTAAAATCAGAGGCTAAGGGTGTATGCATGCACTATAGCAGTTAGTCTTATTTGACTGAAAGTAAGCCACGTTTCTCATTTTAGCATCACAGTTGATCGTGAATCACAACGAATGGTATGAAACTGATGAGATATAAAATAATTTGCTTTATGTGTGCAGGTATGTTCTGCTGTGGTCCAGCTCCAGTAGCAGCCATCCTGAACGGAGACACTCGTCTGAAATACGACGTCCCGTTTGTCTTCGCTGAGGTCAACGCTGACTGTGTTTCCTGGCTGGTTAGTGATGGAGCCAGAATCTTTTAGAAAACATGTCTGAACCAACACAGACCTACTTTTTACAATCTCCTAATACTGATTTTGTTTGGTTGTGTCCTGTCAGATCAAAGAAGATGGTTCTAAGATGAAACTATTGTCTGACACTAAGAAGGTTGGACAGTGTATCTCCACCAAGGCCATCGGCTCCAATAAAAGGATGGATCTCACTGATGCCTACAAATATAGAGAAGGTGGACTCGCACGACTTGATTCAAGCCAACACTGAAAACTAGGAATTCTTTTTTCTAATTCAAATGTAAAAATCAAACAAAATCCCTGTGTCAGTGATGGGATTGGTAGCAATACTGATACAAACCAAAACTGGTTTGGTTTATAACAGGTAGATTATGCTGCTACTGAGCACAAAGCAGAAGGAATACGCCTGCAACTTAGCAGGCAACAGGAACGCATTTAATTTATCGAAAATATTCATTTAATTGGTCAGGGATGAGGTCCTGCCTCAAGTGGAGATGTTTAAAAATCTTGGGGTCTTGTATACAGGTGAGTTCACGAGTAGTCTGTTGTGGTGAAGAGAGCGCTGAGCTAGAAGGCAAAGCTCTCAATTTACCGGTCGATCTACATTCCTACCCTCACCTATGGTCACGAGCTTTGGGTAGTGACCGAAAGAACGAGATCGCGGATACAAGAGACTGAAATGAGTTTTCTCCACAGGGTGGCTGGGCTCTCCCTTAGAAATGGGATGAGAAGCTCAGTCATCCGGGAGGGGCTCAGAGTAGACCTGCCGCTCCTGCACATCGAGAGGAGCCAGTTGAGGTGGCTCGGGCATCTAGTCAGGATGCCTCTTGGACGCCTCCTTGGTGAGGTTTTCTAAAAACATCCAACCAGGAGGAGACCTAAAGGAAGACCCGCTGGAGGGGCTATGTCTCATGGCTGGCCAGGGAAGGCCTTGGGATTCACCTGGAAGAGCTGGTCCAAGTGGGAAAAGGAAGTCTGGGCCTCCCTGCTTAGGCTGCCGCCCCCGTGACCCACCCCGGATAAGAGGATGAAGATGGATGGATGGACGTTATTGGATAAAATATTCAGTATAAAGTCTCAAGAATTAGTTAGTGAAGCTGATGTGTTTTTGTGGTTTTCCTGACTGAATGACAGGAAGTGAAAAGGAAAGAGCTGTCTTCGTGTATGCTCTCTCGAGCCTGACGAACGGTGCTGGGGAAGAAGAAAACGGTCATATGAGATCTACTAGACGTATGGGTGCAGTAGACGACATGAAGAATGATAAACCATCTGCTCCTCCACCACAGCTGCACATTCAGTTTGAAGAGGTGGGAGGAGGTTTCTGTCTGTCTGAGTCATGACCCTACAACTGCATTTCATTGATTGAGGAGTTTCGGTCCACTAACTTCCGCTAAATAATCCCGTCTCTGATTGTGTGCGGCTGCAGGACTCCAGACCAGTAATCGGTGAGGATGTGAAGCTGAAGCTGGTTCTGAGCAGCGACAGCACCGTCACCAGGCTGCTGTCGGTCAACATCAGCGTCCAGGCCATGAGGTACACCGGCCATCCAGCCGGGAACATCCAGACTGAGGTGACGGAGCAGAAGCTGCTGCCTGGGGAAGGTGACTCTAACTGGGATTGTTTATTTTAGAAATGTAGCCGTTTAGATTTTTTAATCAAACATCTGAGTTTTAGCTCAGACTTCACAGCATCTTGTTTTTAAAACTTGGTCACATCCATTTTATTTCCCACAGATCTGTCCATCCCGATCCTGGTTCCATTCTTGACCTACCAGAAGTACATGGTGCAGTGCAGAAACATGACATTTTCGACTATAATCACCGACCTGCAGAACAAAGAGAACAGATACTTGGCCGAGCGCCACATCAACCTGATGGATCCACCCATCTCCATCAACGTTAGTAACAAAACCTCTATTTGGCATTTTGACAGCTCTCCATACTTCCTAAACTCACCTTATGGGAAAAAAAAACACTCTTTAAAATATTTCTCCACTAAATGCTGAAAGGCCATGAAAGCGTAAAATAATCGCTGCATATTTGTATTTTTTATTCTCTGGAAGGCAAACTGTGTGACAGATGTACTCCAGGCATGAAAAAGGAACAGTTTGTAATCAGTGTGAAACAAAACAAAACATTATTTCCACTTTCATTAATCACCTTATTCCTGGGCCGGCTCATGGAGAAATTAATGATGCGTGCAACATCCGGTGAGATAATGGGAGTAGCTGAGAGCCATTGGCTTTCATGGTGAGGTTTCCTTTCTTATAGCAGTTTATTTTTTACTAAGCACATTGAATTGCCTCTGTGTTTGAAATGTGCCATATAAATAAAGCTGCCTTGCCTTTGTTTGAACATTTCAAAATGATTTAAAAACATATTTGCCCCTAAAAAATGTACTCCCGCGGCTCGGGAACATGGCGCGCTGTTGGCAGTTGTACCCAGACCCAGAAGAAGTTAAATGTGTGGCTACAGGAGCGATGTTTGGAACCTTGGACAGAGTGTGGGTGCATTCCACTTTTGCCACACGTCAGAAGGACCAGTTTCGCTCCGTTTGTCTGGATTTTCAACCTGAAATAAAAATAATTGATAAATATTTACACTGAACCTAAAATAATTGAACTGAATTATGCTTTTAGCTAGCAGACAAGTGATTAAAATAGAGCTCATTGTATAACATCATACGTGATCAAATGCTGTAAAAATGATTATTAAACCTGTTGTAAAGATGACCTTCCCAAGGATGGCAGTGGCATGGCAATAAGATCTGCCTTGACCTCCGATACGTCTTTCACCTGATGTAGAAACTAAAGTCCAGGCTTGATGATGAGAGATTTGAGGCTCCTACTCGGCTCTGAGTCCCACCTCTTTCATGACCACCCTTACTTCTTCAACGTAGGTGCCGATAAGTCTCGGACCTGCATTCTTCATTGCCTGGACATCATATAAGACAGTTAGGAACGTAGCTAAAATGGTACTGTGTGTTAGCTCTGGCCATCTTCCACCCAACTAGGCAGAGGGATTGTAACAGCCATTTCTGTCTAGACGAGACCTTGAGAACGTTGTTCGTGCCTTCATTAGCACCTTGGCTACTGATGTCTTATTTGTCGCAAGTCAGGGTACTATAGCTCACCTGTAGCTCGTTCAGAATGCTGCAGCGAGATTCCTGGAAGGCAAGAGAAAATTAGATCATGTGACATAAATTCTGGCTCTTCATTGGCTACCTGTTGAGTTTAGAATTCCTTTTAAACTTCTTATAATGGTGTTTAAGGCACTGAGTGGATTAGCGTCCAGTCTGAGCTATGACAGCTGGTGTTCACACATCGTTTATATCGTTTTAAAAAGATCGTAAAAAGTGGATTAATGCAAACAGATTGCATGGTCCATCTAATTAAAGTTAAAGCCTCATTAGTTGCCACACTGCTGTGTGAAGTTTGTTCTTTGTATTTGGCCTATGTGGGGAGCAGTGAGCTGCAGACACGGCTGTGTTCGAGAACCATTTGGTGGTTTAACCCCAAATCGAACTACTTAACACTGAGTGTCAAGCAGGGAGGCGTTGGGTCCCATTTTTAAAGTCTCTGGTAAGACCCGACTGTGGATTTGAACCCACGATCTCCCAGTCCCAGGGTGGACACTACCACTAGGCCACTAAGCTGGTTATCTGTGGTCTCCATGTAAACAAACACCGGACCGGAAGTCAGTCACATATTTCACGTAACGGATCACAGGGTATAGAAATAAGGTGAATTATTTATTTTCATTGTTTTTAAATAAATCTGTAGAAGTTTTTGGCTTTTTTAAAATCTGATTGTGTTAAAATAATTGTGTTGCAGGTGACTGATGAAGGCAGAGTGAACCAGCCGATGACTGTTGAAATGGTTTTCATGAATCCAGTAGAGGACACACTGAGAAACTGCACTTTGACTGTTTCTGGAAGTGGCCTTACGGAGGAAACCACTATTAAGTGAGTGTGACTGTAATGTAAATCTACAAGGATGCAGAAACATGTATAAGTTTTTATGCCGCTTGAAGTTGGAGGACGTTTTTAGCCGTCCCAACATTTCACCCTAATAAACCAGACGTGTGAGATATTCTGACCAGAATGCTATCTTTCCTTTCCTGTCTTTTTGTCTCAGACTTCAAGATCTGCAGCAAGGCAGAAGGCTCCGCGTCCAGTTCACCATCGTTCCCTATCGGAGCGGAGAACGGACTCTCCTGCTTGACTTCGACTGCAGCTTGTTCAGAGACATTAAAAAGAGCTGCTCTATCTGTGTGCAAGCATGACTTCATCTCATTTACTTTTCACTTGGAGGAAGGTGTTTAACGCAACTTTTTCTATGCCTTTATTACGAGACTTTTGCAAAAAAGCTCACAAAATCTGTGTGTGGTCTTTCTGCAGCATCAGAGTTTCAATTCTGATCCTGTTTTTAATGCTTCCAGTGTGTTTCTCAACACCCGAACCCTTTGCAGGTGTTTTGAGTTCATTAGCTAATTAGAGTTTGCCACTGAGCCCAATAGTCTGATATTTTGAATGTAAGGTTTTCATAAGCTGTAAGCCATAATCATCACAATTATAACTAATAAAGGATTGAAATATCTGGCTTTTCATGGAGTGAGTCCATCTCATAGACTAGTTTCACCTTTTAGGTTTAATTACCGAAATAAAGGAACTTTTGCACCTTATTCTCATTTTATCGAAGCCAGAGGTTTCCTGTGGTTCCTGTTTCCTCCTGTAATGATTCATTAGTTACATCTTAAGTAATGATCCATAAAATGTGAGATCCCATAGGAAATATGAAATCAATTTGATGGATCTTTGAATATTACTTTAACCAGAAGATCAGAACTTTTTATTGCAGGGATTAGGTAACACTTCATATTAACCCAGAGACGAGAGAGAGAGAGAAAGAGAGAGAGAGAGAGAGAGAGAGAGAGAGAGAGAGAGAGAGAGAGAGAGAGAGAGAGAGAGAAGTTTTAAAGTTTAAGAAGATTTATTTCTAAACAATTTCAAACAAGGCTAACTAACTCTATACACTCTGAGTGATGAATGGATCTAGGTGTGAATGAGGCAAGATGGATGGTGCAATGTGGAATGTTGTTATCAGAACTCTCGTTTCCGGAGAAGCGTTAGTTCTGTGTGGGAGCGAATGTTTTGCTCTAAACTACAGTCGGAGTTTCAAAACCACATTCAGACGCCATATTTCTGCTCTAAATACCCTTGACGGAGACCTCCGTTGTAGATCCAGAATGCCAGGTCCTCGGATCCCCCTTTGGTACCGGAGCCAATGAAACAGCGTACGGTACGACAGACTAGTCTTGGAATGCCTCCAGGTAAGCGACAGGTGTTTGACAGCGTCAGCGAGACCCTGAAGGGTCAGTTAGTCCAGCTTTTACTCTGAAAGAACGTTGCGTTCAGGTGTAGCTTGCAACAGGTTTTGTTATCCAGCTTGTCAAGGTTCTTTGTTGTTAAAAAGTTAATAGTGGCCGGCTCGCAACTCTAGAATGTTTGAACACCAGTTAAGATGACGTGGGACATAGTTTTATGATCTGGATGTTTTGATTTACTGTCGAATCAGAATTTGACAACAAAAGGGGATGGTATAAGCACCGCACAGACCACGCCGCGCGTCAGAAAGGAAAGCTCTGATTGGAGAGACAAAAGGAATGTGTCATGTGATTTTAGCATTACGTGTGATCAGTCTAGTGTCTAGTTTAAAGTTATATTACTTATTATATACTATCATAGGATTATAATATCAAATAATTAATATTCTCATTTCACAGATTGATTGAAAATTAGGCTTCACATGATTATTTGGACTAACAAAGTTATTTGATTATTATTTAAAAAAAATAGTTCTTGGTCTTCTTTCTTGTGCTGTAGGGGGAGGCAAAATGCTAGTTAAAACAGTTTAGATGCAGAGGCATCAAAGACCTTGAGCAATATCTCAAGGAGAATAGTTCTTCATGAGGAGAGAGGGGAGATGACCTTTAGGTGGAAAACAGTTCCTTCATGACGCTACACTCCCAAAGTCCAGGAAAAAAAGTTTTTATTGTTAAAGTTTCAACTCAAAGAGCTCAGGTTTAGAGCGCTCCTAGTCTCATAAAAGCCTCCTGCCCTCTGGTGGAGGATTTAGGTACTGTAGATGAAATATAACAGTCATGTCTGTTTCTTTTGTATATTTATTACTAAAATATTTCTCGCCTCAAACGTTTATTGTTTTCGATTGAAGCCCATTAAATAATTAGTCTGATCAGAAACTAAAGCCCTTTTCCCTCTAGCATCGGCTCTGCGTGGTCTGGGTGGCATAGAGAGTGTCCACATTAGTATGGCCTGCCTTTTTCAGGGTGCAACCAGACTGTATTTCAGCCCTCTTACCGAGGTGATCTGATTCAGGCTGACCAGGGCCAACACACCCACTGCTGACTGATAAGCCGGCTCAAATTCACACCTTCCGTTAGGGGAAGCCTTTGATTGGGTAGAATCAGCCAGTTACCTAAGAGCTGAGAACATCACTGACTGCATGAGTTGTTTTAACTTTTATTTGCTGATGTTTTGACCTCTCAGCCATCCTCAGAGCTTGCCAACGTTGGCGGCGTCACTTCTTTCTCTGTTTATCCACAAGCAGCAGAGGATTCTGTCGCCCTCTGCTGCCCGCGCTCTCCTCACCGATGACACAGTCCCACGCACGATCCAATGTGTAGACCCCATTGACCAACAAGTCCAAGACACACAAGAGCAGTGAAACAAGAAGCAGAAATTACAATAAAGGCATCAGCCGTAACAGACCACTACACAAGGGGAAACCACTTGATGGACTGGGACAGAACACAAATCATAAACACAGAACAACATCAATAGAAAAGACGGATTAAGGAAGCCACAGAAATAAGGAGAGGTGGACACACAACCATGAACAGAGACAATGGGGTCTACACCTGAAAAGTTCTGTAACACAGCACAGCTCAATGTCAGAGATGTCACAAGTGCTGCAATTGGCAGCTGATTCCTGCCAAGGAATGTGTGACTAGAGTTGCAACATGCGTTAAATGGAATGAAGGGTGATTGGGTGTGATAACGGCTTTAAAATCCACCCATGCACAGAGTCACCTGTCAGAGCTGCAGAGCCACTAAGAGCTGTGTTTTCTTGTTGGGGAACAGATTCTTCAGAGAGATGATGGCACTGGACAGACCCAATAGCTACAGCAGATCCAACACAGCAGGTACTGAACAAAAACCTCCTCACCTGTCCGTCTCCTGTCAGGCTGTTGATGAATATGATGATAAATCTAAATGGTTTCATGTTAAAGCTAACCTGTTGTTCTGAGATCACAATGTCACCTCACTGCTTTTTTCTAGAGAGATATTGACCATCTGATTATTAATCTGATCATTAATCTCATCTGATATGGTCATTAATCGGATTGTTAATCTGATAATATTTTCTGATCATTATCTGGTCTGTAATATGACAGTTAATTTGATAATTAATCTGATAATTAATCTGATCATTATCTGGTCATTAATATGATTGTTAATCTGATAATTAATCTGATTGTTAATTTGATCATTAGTCTGATTGTTAATCCCTACCATCATCTGAATATTAATCAGATCGTTATCTGGTCATTAATGACGGTTAATTTGGTAATTAATCTGAGTGTCGGATTGTTAATCTGATAATCTGATTGTTAATCAGATCATTAATCTGATAATTAATCTGATCATCAACCTGATCAACAATTCCTTTATTATATTAACTCAGCATCTCAAACTTGTCTTGGTTCAATTTAAACATAATAAATAAATTCACAATCCTCAACAAGAACCAAGGACCTAGAATTAAAAGGATTCATTTTGTATCTTTGCAACTTTTAACCTTAGATTTTTTGTGGGGGGTTAGCCACATCCTAATCAAAGCTTGTTTAACTGAATCGATTAAAATCAAATCACCATCCAGCATTCACATCTAAGTTGTTTAATTCCATCATATTATTCATATTTATGGATTATATGCTCATGAGAAGGAATGTCCCAAAGTGAGCTGCTGCACAATGAGGAGGTGAAAGCTGATCATCTGAAACGTGTCCTAAACTATAGAATCAAGTTAAAACAAATGAATTTCATCGTTAAATTTCAAGATAAAGTAAGTAAATCTCTTTTTTAATGTCCCTTCTTGTTCTCAGTTTCAGAGAATAATTTGATGTGACAGGATGAGCGTCCTGTCACCGTATCCTGATTGATGATGCGCCCTGCCTACTTGGCCACAGGGATTTGTCTCTGACTGACTGGTTAGCGTGCGTGACTCTCACTCGGGAGTCTGGCGATCGATTCCCGCCTGGGCTCTCGCCTCTCCACCCTGCCACATTAAGAAGCAGCATTTGCAACAAGAAGCATTAATGCTTTTCAAACGCGCAAACAGCAACAACAACACACCCAGGAATTAGTCACTACAGCGTCCTGGTGACATCATCCAAGGAAAACATAACAGCACATTGTTTGCTTTTACTTTTCTGAGTGTGATCCAACAAAAGTTAGTAGTTACAGATCATTTCCTCCAACCCTTCCAAACGAGTCAAACTGGTTTCTACCTTTAACTGCTACCTGTGGCCTGTAGAGTGACATGGAGCCATTCAGACTTTTTAAATAAACCAGAAAAACACAAAACGATTTTTCCATTTTCCACTTTCTCTAAATTCCTTCCAGGACAAAGAAAGGAATTCTGTGAACAGGATTATTAAGAAACGTGTCTTAAAATCTTCTTAACCAGTGGTTCTCAATCTGGGGTTCGCAACCCCTGCAAGGGGGGCCCCACAAGATGGTGGTGACTGTCAAGATAATACTTGTAAAAATTACATTTATAAAATCCCCAAAACACACCCAATAATGTAATCGAGACTCTGTATAAGAGTTGTAACTCTGGATGTGTGTATAAAGTATGTAATTAATCACTTCAGATGTGTGTATGACGTGAGAGTTGGGGTTGGGGGTCCCTGGCTTGTCTTGGACACAAGCAAGGGGGTCCTCGTGGAAAAAATGTGGGAATCACCATTCCAAGCCAACTCTCGTCTTGTGCTGAAACAAAGCTCACATGATGCATCTGTGGGCAGATTTAGTTGTGTTTATCTCTTAAACCAACTTTAGATGAGATTTGTGTTTCTGTGGACATGTGCCAGTCCTAGACAGCAGGAGGGGCCCAGTGTGTGAGGTGTGTGTGAGGTGTGTGTCATGACATTTTCCTTTGCTGTTCTTTAACAACACTCCTCATTCTCACACTTACTGTACTTTCCTCGCTGGAACATTAGTCAAGAATGCATTAAATCACCAACCCGCCCTGATGTCTGCCACTGTTGTGAAAGCTTCACCAGATGTGGAAAGTTCATTGACAAGAATCCAGAACTTTCTACAACATGTCTTCATCTGCCTGCAGCCTCATAAAATCATGCATGACTGGTTGAGTGAGAAGCTTGGTCATTCGGGAGGGGCTCGGAGTAGATCTGCTGCTCCTCCACATCGAGAGGAGCCAGTTGAGGTGGCTCGGGCATCTTGTTAGGATGCCTCCTGGACGCCTCCCTGGTGAGGTTTTCCGGGCACGTCCAACTGGGAATAGACCCTAGGAAAGACCCAGGACACGCTGGAGGGACTCACGGCTGGCAAGGGAATGCCTTGGGATTCTCCCGGAAGAGCTTGTCCAAGTTGTTGGGGAGAGGGAAGTCTGGGCGTCTCGGCTCAGGCTGCTGCCCCCGTGACCCGTCCCTGGATAAGTGGCTGAAATTGGATGGATGGATGGTTCATGAAGAAAGTTCCGTTTAATTACTTTATGCCCATTTACAGAAATTTTTACTATTTACCATTTTTTAAGCAAAAATTAAAACTTGTCATTTTAATCTCTGCAGTCTAACTCTACAGTCAGTTAAGACTTATTTAAGGTGTTTTCTGTGTTTTATTGTAGTTTTTAAGGGAGTGGACCTCCACAGCAGGACCAACAACACTGAGCACCACACCAGTGAGATCTCTGTGGATCAGCTGATTGTGAGGCGAGGCCAGCCCTTCATCCTGACCCTGAAACTGGCTCAACCTTTCAACCCTGACCTGGATCAGCTCATCATGACAGCTGAGACAGGTTTGTGCCTTCTTCTCAGGCTGAAGCTGCGCCTGATTTCACAAGTGTGACAAGTCAGGACTCCATGCAGAGGTCTTTTACTGCATGGATGTATAAAAGTGGAGTTTTGTGTCTGACTCAGTGGCTCCTCATCACAGGAAACTATCCATCTGAGACCCGGGGGACGATGTCACGCTTTGGTGTCCCAAACAAAGTTCCAGCTTCAGCGTCCTCTAAGGCGGTGTGGAAGGCAGAACTTCAGAAGGGTTCTTCTCCTGAAACAGGAAGCTTGACTCTGACCATCAAACCCCCAGCAGATGCCCCCATAGGGGAATACAAGCTGTCTGCTAAACACAAGGAGGAGGAGCAGGTGCTGGCTAACCTGTCGGTGCTCTTCAACCCCTGGTGTTCTGGTAGGTTTGTGATCTCTGTCCAACTGTGGTTCATTGATCTGTATCAGCTGTTTAGATGTTTTCATGTTTCTTTTCTCTGCAGACGACTGGGTGTTCCAGCCTGATGATGAACAGAGACAAGAGTATGTCATGAATGAACACGGGGTCATTTACAGAGGGGTTGATAATTATATCTCTCAGATGCACTGGGATTTTGCACAGGTAGATAAACTCACAGCAACACGGTCCTTAGAAAACTCACGGTAGATGCTGAAGACATTTTGGATGTCAAACATTGCAACTGAAAAGTTCATTTGCAAGAACAAATCACTGTTTCATATCTTTAAAAATGCATTTTTTTTCTTATTTTCTTTTTGTGAAATCAGTTAAAGTAAAGTTTGGTAATTCTGATGAAAATGATTAATTTGCTTTTACAAATGATTATTATTTTTGTTCATTTTTGCTTCATTTTTAAAGTTACTTTCAAATTATTTAATAAAACTTGTTTGTGACTTCACGGTAATCTGACAGATTCAGTAGGTTTTATTCCTAAACATGCTTGAAAAATGTCGTCTCCTGAATATATTCAGCATCGATTTCATTACATATTTCATGTGTTTATGTGTCCTTGTCTTCCTGTCCAGTTTGAGGAAGACATGGTGAAAATCTGTGTGAAAATTCTGGACATGAACCTCAAACACAAGCGTGACCCTGCTGAAGATGTTTCTGCTCGCTGTAATCCCATCTACGTGAGCCGTGTGGTCACCTCTATGGTAGGACACGCAGGTGGTTCCTACACAGAAGGAACAGAACAACAGCAATACAAGAGCTGGATTATGGAAGCCACAGAAATGAAATGAAAAGTTAAAATTATGATGTTTTGTTTTTATTTTCACCTTAACTTAACAACAATTCCTCAAGACACCAGTTTATTATTCGTCATTATCATGAATTTAGAGAAAATTATCTTTTTGGTGACTCATCAAAATGGTGACATCATCTTATTTAATTTTTCTGCCTTAAAAATATTCCCTAAAATATAATAAACACATAGTAAATGGCCTGTATTTGAAATTGCATATTCTAGAGTCCTAGAACACCCCAATACACTTTACAACACATTCAGTCTTTCGCTCATTCACATGATGATGGTGATGAGCTACATCGTAGCTACAGCTGCCCTGGGGCATACTGCCGGGCACGGGTGCCACCGGTCCCTCCGACCACCACCAACAGTCATAAGAAACTTTGAAATCGATTTTGGACATTTGTTATAAAGAAATAAGAGCTTTGTTTGCTGTTTTGTTTCTCCAGATTAACAACGCAAACTTTGGAGGCATCCTGCAGGGAAGCTGGGGAAGTGACTTCAGAGGGGGGGTGCCTCCATCCCACTGGAGCGGCAGCTACGCCATCCTTAAGCAGTGGTACAGCTCTTTCTACTCGTCAGTCAAATACGGACAGTGCTGGGTGTTCGCTGGCGTCATGTGTTCAGGTAAACACACGAACACCAGCTCTGTGTGTGTGTGTGTGTGTGTGTGTGTGTGTGTGTGTGTGTGTGTGTGTGTGTGTGTGTGTGTGTGGATCTGGCTCAGAGACAATCAGTGTGCAGAAACAAAACATTTAAAAAGCATGTTTCAGCCATTTTTAAAAGTGATAAATAAATGATGATTGTTTCAGTGATGCGTCTGCTCGGGATCCCGTGTCGTGTCGTCACCAACTACCAGTCTGCTCACGACACCAACAGAAATCTGACCGTGGACACCTACTTTGCTGACTACGGCGTCAGAGCAAAGGAATCCAAGGACAGCGTCTGGTGAGGCTCATGTTCCTACAGAGAAGACAAGTATTCTGCTTTACGTTGGATTGTACCGTATTTGCAACTTCAGAGTGCCGGGCCAGCACCTGTTACTTACCTGGCACTGCAGTCTGCTTCCAGCACGTTTCCTGTATGTTTTAGATCATGAACACAGCTGGTTTGTTTCATTAAGTGGTAAATCACTCCTGTAGACACTAAGGAAGGCTGGGGAGACATATCAGCTGCTAGATTAAGGTGTAAAAAAGACAAACACACAGCGAGGAGACAAGTTTCACCTTTTTTGGGACCACAGATAATGAACAAAAGACACTAGGGGGTGCTAAAAGCAAATGAAACGGCCAAGTGTGCAGACTGATCTTCTAGCTCTAAGAAGGCCCCAAAAGGCCACCCGCCTCCTTGATCTGAATGTTGTTTTCTGTTTAAAGGAATTTCCATGTCTGGGTTGAAGGCTGGATGAGGCGACCTGATCTGGCAAAAAACAACAAATATGATGGATGGCAGGTTCTAGATCCAACGCCACAAGAAAAGAGTGATGGTATGTACTATTTCTAAATCCACATTTCCTGTTCTGTCTTTTTACTTATGTTCAGATTTACTGTTACTTTTCAAAAAAATAAATAGTTACAAATCAGAGGTTTTAGTAAACACAAACACACACACACACACACACACACACACACACACACACACACACACACACACACACACACACACAACCAGTTTAGTTTAACCAGTGAGGCGTCTTTTGATCCACGTTTGAAATCATAACGAGGGAAGTGACTCGTTTCCCGTCTGCAGGTATGTTCTGCTGTGGTCCAGCTCCAGTCACAGCCATCCTGAACGGAGACACTCATCTGAAATACGACGTCTCATTTGTCTTTGCTGAGGTCAATGCTGACTGTGTTTGCTGGCTGGTTAGTGAACACAACGCTAACTTCACCATAATCTGAAGTCTTAGAGTTTGATTGGAAAAACAGGCAAGGGGGAGCGGGTATATGCATCTCCTGTTGAGTTTGTTGTTGTTGCTGGGTGCGGTTATGGTTCCTGTCAGGTAAAAAAGGATGGCACCATGGACAAGATCTCCACTGACAACATAACAGTTGGACAGAACATCTCCACCAAGTCCATCAGCTCCAATAAGAGGATGAACATCACCGACAGCTACAAGCAGAGAGAAGGTGAACTCGCGAGGCCACATTCAGCTTTTAAGCTAAAACTCTTCCTTTTAACCATTTATGTTTTACTCGACTTCAAAACCAGATAGTTGTCAGCACATTGAATTATTTAACTTGTTTGTTCTCCTGACCTGATTCATTACCACCCTGACAGGAACTGAGCAGGAAAGATCTGTCTTTAGGTACGCCCTGGACAGACTGAAGAGTGAAGCAACAGGAGAAGGAGACACTGGTGGGAGCGGTGAGAAGGTCCTGAGCGGAACGTCAGAGATGAACACCACGGACCCCGTGCGCACAGCGGAGACAAACAAACCATCACAACTTATCATTCAGTTTAAAGAGGTAGGTCTGCAGATTCTGCTATCGCTCAGCCGTCTGTCTGCTTTTCTTACGGTTCAGTTTATTTAACTGTTGGTCAGTAGGTGTCTCTGCTCTGTGTCAAGTTAAAGATGTTTAACTCAATAAAAACCAGTCCAATCTAAAAACTGCTGAGCCGAAACTGTTGAGACTCAAATCAGATGATACATAATACAGCAAGGGTGCATATTACCCACAGGTACCTACAGAGATAAGTACAGGAACTGGGCTTTTTAGGGGGTAACCATCGACATAAATATACTGGACATCTCCTTTCTATAGGCTCCAATATCACGTTTTTGAGGCCAAGTGGGAGGTGGCCACCACCGCCATTTTGTCCATGTCACAGGTTCCGTCAAGCCCAGACAATTCCAAAAAAGGGAAGAGAGGAGGAGCTGAGGGTGGGGCTGTAAGGCTGGGATCAACTGACGACACCCGGTCGAACTAGCTACAAGCTAACCTGAAGCTAACCCAAAGCTAACATGGAGGTTGGAGCTAAGCTAACGGAGGTAGCAACCTAGCTACAACCGGAGTTAACTGTGCACTACACCAGAGCATCTGAGTCAGAGATACGCCGGGCTGACCGCTGGGTAAAACCGGGTGGAACAGAGGTCTCCGAGACCTCCACAAGCCGGCAGCCGCACAGCAGACAAGCGCCGCTGCGATCTGAGACGCGCAGAGCTGCCGCTGGGGAGAACCGGGTGGAAAGGTTTCCATCCCAGAGCTCCACAAGCCAGCAGCCCGCGCATCAAACAGAAGCCGCAATCAGACAGAGATGCACCGAGCTGCGGGGAGGGGAGAACGGGTGGAAAACATCAGTCTCCCGAGAGCTCCACAAGCCGATAGTCGGAACCCAGCTCCACCAACATGTTGTATTTCAACCCATTTTCTAAAGTGCAGCATTGTGTTAAATGCACTGGGTTTTACCCTATTACATTTAAATTTCATGGTTAAACAGTGCATGTTAAAATCTAAGCTCAGCTCAGCAGTGACCTAAAATACATAAATATAATTTTACTTACCGAAAAAAATGAAGTGGAGACTCCTTGGACGCTCTATTAGTGCAATTACTGCCACAGCAAGTCATTTTGTCCAACAATTGCGCTAAAAATATCCAAAAAAGAATACACAAACACAGAGACTCAAAATGCCGGAGCATTTTCCACGCCACACCGAGGCTCTACTGAGGCCTTTCCACGGAGCTAGCTCTGTGGTCACGTGTGTCGGATGCTCATTAATTATACAGAATTTTAGGCTTTTAATACACTTAAACAGAAGAGTGAGAAAAAAATTCACCCCCCTCAGAGTTGTCATGAGTGTAAACTATCATTTAAACAATAAACATGTTTTGGTACTAGGGTGTAAACATGTTTATTTGTGCTGTGAAATTGGTATTTTTAACATGGGAGTCAATGAGGATTTGCTCGCTTCTGACACCAGCCCCCAGTGGATGAGGGTGGAACTGCAATTTATTTCATTTCCGGGTTTGCCTCAATTTTAGAGCCGCATTGTGGGGGCTTGGGGGTAACCCAGATGTTTCCACAGCTCTGTTAACACAAAAAGATAGATTTCATTGTTTGAGGTGTTTTAGTCCACAAACTGCCTCTAAGTAATACTCCAGTCCACCTGATTGTGTGCGGCTGCAGGACTCCAGACCAGTCAACGGTGGGGATGTGAATCTGAAGCTGATTCTGAGCAGCGAAAGCACCGTCACTAGGCTGCTGTCCGTCAACATCAGCATCCAGGCCATGAGGTACACCGGCCAACCAGCTGGGAACATCCAGACTGAGGTGACAGAGCAGAAGCTGCTGCCTGGGCAAGGTGACTTTCATGTTTTCAGACACAAATGCTGCTGTCTCTCTTCAGGTGGACACAACTCATATTTAGTTCTCAAGCTGTGGCTTTGTAAGAATTTTGGAGTGTTTTGTATGCTTAATGCAGAACTGAACTTAAATAATTTCCCTCCATTTTGTCTCCATCAGATCTGTCCATCCCGATCCTGGTCCCATTCTTGACCTACCATAAATATATGATAGTGTCTCAAAGCTTGAACGTTTCAGTCATAATCACAGACCTGCAGAACAAAGAGAACATCTACCTGGCTGAGACCCGCATTAAACTGATGGACCCACCGATCTCCATCACAGTCAGTACAAAAACACTCCCTCTTTAGTCATACTGTCATACCCATATACCAGCCCTAGGTCAATAACCAAATAAACAACCTCAAAACAAAGAAACTTCCACCTAAACTATGACTGGGTTTGTCCTGAGTATTATAAAACACGTGCAGGATTCATTCCCACCTGCTCTCGCGTTCATTTTAGGGCTTAGTTAAAAAACCAAGTAGCATTGCTGAAAACTCACAAATCAGAAAATTCTGATGCCGTATAAAGTCTGCTTGTTTCAGCCTTTTCTTGTTTTTTTATGCAGACTTTTCCAAAACCCCTTTACTTGCTCAGGTTTTAGGTGAAGCCGTGGTGGGCCGTGAGCTGACTGCAGAAGTGATGTTCATGAATCCAGTAAAGGAGACACTGAGGAACTGCACCCTGACTCTTTCTGGAAGTGGCCTTTTCACTGGGGAGATTATAACCAAGTGAGTTCATGTCTGTTATTAAAATAAAGGTTAAAAAAATTATATTTTGGAAAATCTAGGAAAAGGTGAAGCGTTTTCAAGACGCTTCATGTAGTTCAGCTGCTATTTTAACAAGATGTTAGCAGCATAGAAGAAATGTAAAACGCAAACAAAAACAAATGTTTAGTCTCAATGCTGCGATCAAAGAATCAGCATCACAAACAACACTAAACTGATTTGTATTTCCTGTTTCTTAAATTCACCTGCAGCCTTCCAGACCTGCAGCCCAGCAACAGAATCCGAGTCCAGTTCCCGATGTTTCCCTACAGGAGCGGAGAAAGATCTCTCATGGTGGATTTTGACTGTTCCTCTTTCAGGGACATTAAAGCCAGCTGCACCGTCTATGTTAAATAATAAACCCATCTCATTTCTATTCCCTTTAAAGCATCTACATTTAAATTCGTGTTTGATTAAATGTGTTTTCATCAATTATTTCTATTGGAAAGAATCACATAGACAAGCACGATGAAGTTTATGTAAAGTAAGTTCATCTTTGCCCTTATTTAGTCTTTGTTAATTAGGATCTACTGGCAGGTAAACCTGCAGCAGGTACACATCAGAGCTGGATGACCAATAGCAGCATATTTTAGTGATACAGGCAGATGATTAAATCTAGAAATGACCTGTTTAAGGTGAGAACAGCTGCATCACAGGATGATTTATTACTCAGTAGGCTACCTCATCACAGTCAATCATTTTAGATCATGTTTAATTTGTTGTTTACAGACGTTCACAGTAGATTTGTACAAACTTGCAGACTTTGTCCTTTTCAACCAGAGGCTTCATAATTTATAATTTACTCAGTAAAAAGGTCAAGGTCAATTTTAAACGGCTGTTGCTGACCAAAGTGCTTCACAGCATAAGAAGCAGATCACAAGAATAAAATAGAAAAACTGAATAAAAACTGGCTTGATTAAATGTTCAGGGCAATTCTTGATGAAAGCCCTTTGCTTAAAAAAATCATATATATTATGAAATGACACTAAAACGAAATGAAAAGAGGTAGAAAATACCTCATTAGTCCCTAACTAAAAGCAAACTCCTAAAAATACTAGGTTTAAAAATGACTCCGTGTCTGAGCAGCCCTAACATCTGCAGGAAAACCCACCAAGAAGCCTGGGTTGATTGGTTTTATATTTTATAATTTAATGACTATTTTTTTCTGATGTTAATCCATTTCATTATGATTTTACAACTTTACGTTTTATTTTGTTTGGATCTGTGTGAAGTACTTTGTGATTCCATGTCTGTGATAAGTGCTATATAAATAAAATTTACTTACTTTACTTAATAATAATTAACAGTATAAAAACGAGAGGTTCTGCTTCAGGATAATTTACGATATTTTACAGCTTTTATTGTTTGATCAGGCATCGATGCAGCAACCTGCCCACGCATCGGTTTCGAGCGCTACGCTGCCGTCAGCGTTCGAAGCCTTGGGCGTCACGTGTGTGCCCCTGTCCACCGGGTCCTTTGATGACGTCAGGACGTCACGTGATCATAATAGTCTTTTATCAGGAGGACACCAGAGCGGTAGTTCACTTACTCTTAGCACACAGAACAGACCGGTCACGTTTTGAGGATGTTTAGGACCCAAATATGCAGAAACCCAGGATGACACGAGGCTGGAGATGATGTAAAGTAAATATGCTTTATTTTGCAGGACGAATAAAAATAAATCCAAAGGCAGCGAGCCAAAAGTCCAAAAATCCAAAAACCCTGGTAACAAAAACAAAAGCTCACTAAGAGCACCAAAACCTGGAGACATAAGCTCAACTAGAGCACGAAACAACGCTGACAAACATACAATGGACCGACAACAACACAGAGACAAGACAGGGCTTAAATAGACTGGGAAGATGAGAGGGAGATAATTGCAGGTGTTTGGGGAGAGGGACCAGGTGAATACAATTACTAAATCAGGAAGGAGGAAGAAAACACTGGTGGGAAAAACACACTAAATACTGAAAGGCTGTAACAAAGGAAAATGACCTAAGAGAAAAACAAAAGACCAGAAAGTATGAACCATGACTAAGATACTAAGGGGAAGCTGACACTAAAGGAAAACACTGTAGAAAGAAATAACAGGGGCGTGGCTAAGAGGGGGCCAAGAGAGCACAGGACCTGGGAAAGGGATGTCTGACGGGGGAAACCTAGAGGGCAAACGGGGAACACCAGGAGACACATGAGGAAGACGCAGGCATGACACATGAGGGCGCTAGAAGACACAAAAGGAGCACCTAGAGAGGATGGAGAAACACCAGGAGGCACATGAAGGAAGGGGCAGACGCAGACCATGACAAGACCAGTCACTGCACAGAATCTTTTAGCAAGATGCCTTTTTTAATCGCAGGATTCCTTTTTGGAAACTTTGTTTCTAAAACTGTTAGAAAAACCTTTGATTATTTCCTCGAAAAGCAAGAAAACGAAGAATTTGATGAAGATTCCGAAAAATTATTTCAGTCAGTTTCTGGTGATAATTTTACCATCAGACCTGAACCCAGAACCAACTCTGACAGAGAAACTAATCCATTTTTTTCTCACGGTGAGGGGAGGATTTCTAAATCTCCAGAGACACCTTACAGTCATGGAAACAGAGATTTACAAGAAATCTCAGTCGCTTATCTTGGGAGAGATGAAGCTCAGATTTCAGAGCTACATTTCCCTGAGGAAATGGGAGGTTGCCTGTCTGAATCCCTAGTCAGCCCCACAGAAAAACCGAATGCCCAGAAAAATGACCAACATTCACTTATTGACTCAGAAAGAGAATTCTCTTCTCTGCTGGACTACGGTGCATCAGGTAAAGCCAGCTGTAAGACTGCAGAGGCGTCCAACCATGAAAATATCAGAAACTTAGAAGGAACAGCTGTCACTTTAACGGGATTTCTCTGGAAAGATGAATCCCAAGTTACAGCTTTTCCAGAAGACAAATTTGCCAAGGCTTATGAGGAAATCCACCAATATGAGTCTGATGTTTCAGAAAACAGATATTTCTTTGATTCAGAGCCTGACGAGATATTTTCATCTGATGGGAGTGCCAGTACAACTTTCCCGGAGGAATCAGGAACAGATGAAGAGAAATTCTTGTTAGTTTCAGAGAATGGTGCTGATTGTGTGCCTGTAACGTCTGAAACACACGAAGCAAATTTCTTTAAAGCAGGAGATGTTCTTGAGATGTTGCCGTTTGATGAAAGCAGAATTCAAGTTTTCCGCTTTTCAAACTCAAATTTAGGTCAAACTGAAGACGAGATACCAGCTTCACAAAATAGTGATGGGGAAATGAATTTATTCGATCAAGAAGATGATTTTATTCAGTTTTTATTTTCTGAAGATTACCTCTAAAACAAGAAACACGTTTCTGGCTTCACAGGAAATCTTTGATGACAAATCTGTCTCTTATGAAGACGTCAACGTGGATTTGTTTGGTCAGAATCATCACAATCTTGAGCTGTCTTTAGATAAAAGCGACCCTCAAGTTTTATTCCATTTAAAAGAAAATTGTACACTAAAAGAAGCAGAACTCGTAATTCTGGATGGATTAGGTCAGGATGAAGCATCCTTCGCTCCACACAGTACAGAAGATGACAGCTCCAGCACTTCTGAAGACACTCAGGACCTGCTAGAACATTTAGGGGCCGCAGAAACTGAATATTTAGTTTCAGACGATGAATTTAGTGAGAAGGAAACATCAGCTTCAGCCGACGATGATGTTAAAGCAAATATGTTTGACGATTTATTATCTTCAGAGGAAACTGAAGCTGAATGTTTAGTTTCAGAGGGTGAATTTAGTGAGGATGAACTCAGTCAAGATGAAGATGCTTTGGATGAAGGAGATGTTGAAACAAATGTGTTGGATCTGGGTGATGAGACACTTCAGATCGGGCCTCTTGATAAGGACAGGACAACGACTCAAAGGGCCCTAGCTTTACAAGAGAGTACAGTTGAAAGAGCGTCGGTAACTGCAGAGGACAATGAACCTTCTGTAACGGAACGAATGACTCTTATTTTTCCCTTCTTTGCTCAGAACTAGTCTGCATGAGAGATAGTCTCAAGGTCTCATGCATTCCTTCTAAAGCTGGGCTGACACTGTGCGACTTTTTCACTCGTAGCACTCAGCTTCAGCTCAAAATGTACGACTTCCTCGCAGGGCAGATCTCACGAGTCATGCGCTCACACTGTACGACCCAGTTCTCTGTTGCGACCTGACTGCTCACACTGTACATCTGGTAGCAACACGTCTGACCTAAAAAATATGGTAAAAATATCAGTTTTTACACAACACGTCAGACTTTTTTGTCTTGTTTTGCCTGTTGTCCTTCGGGAGTGCTGCAGGAGGACACACAGGGATTTATGGGGGTTGGATGAGGAAAACGAAATAAAGAAAGTAAATCTGTGTTTTGTGATCAGTTTAATTTGACATGAACACGACAAACACGCTTTCTTGACAATCCTTGTGAGTAAAAAAACATGTAGAAATAAAAATGAACAACGTGTGTTATTAGGGAAATAAGGGGCGAGCGGTGTTGATGAATGATTGAGCATGCGCCGTGAGCGGTTCTGATACTTTTTGGGTTGCAGCTGCTCGCAGCGCCGCTTCAACAGTGCGATACCCTCACAAGGGACGAGCAAAATTTCAAACACGCCAGAAGTCCGTGCGAGCTCACGATTGCTGATCGGTAGCTGGTCACATGGTGTTAATCGCCTCTCGTAACCCCCTGTACACTACACGACGCTCGGCGCAAAACTCGCCCCGATCTCGTGGATTCTCGCACGAGTGGAAAATCGGCTCAAAAAAGTGAAAAAGTCACACAGTGTACGCCCGGCTTAACCTGCTTATTTTCAGCTCAACAGAAGAATGAAGAATGAACTCTTTTCTTTTAATTAATCAAAGAACTCTATTTTAATAAAGCTAATCCATGTGACTGACCTGTGAAACCAAATTATAATTACTTTATTATGATCCTATTGAATATAATAAGTACTGCGACTTTAAGTGTTCCAACAGGACTAATTTCACGTAGTGTTAAAAGGACATAACACATTCCTTTCACTGATCCAATCGGAATCTTACAGATCTGACGGAGATGTGCTTCTGACGGTGTTTGGTTATTTTCATTCGACAATAAACCATAACATCCGAGGTATAAAACGATGCCACGTCAGCTTTAACGCTAGTTCAAAGCGTTCCAGAGAAAGTGACGGAGTGGCCAATCCTGACCTAAACTCTTTAACCGAAAGAACCAATGACAAGCTGAGAAATCCAGTCACTATAGCAACCAGCGACAACAACAGCTCCTTTCAGAATAAAAGCTCCATCCACCGACCCAGGCTTGGGTCTGACCAGACGCCAATAAAAGTGTTGTGTGCCGGAAGTAACTCAAGACGGGTTTGATCAGAACTGCGGCTTCTCCTACCGGCTCGGTTTCCAGAGAGGGTTCACTGGACCTCTATATTCCTGATCTACAGAGGACTTCCACCGAGGGCAAGCTAGGCCAACATGATGGGGTCTCATGCTGTTTCTGAAGCTAACCAAAGCTTAATGCAAAACAACATCCTCAGTCCCCATCAGAACAATCGCTCCTTCGGATTTGCTGATTCTGATTTATAGCACACGTCATCCATTCACCGCCTCATCCATTTTTAGTTACACTATACATTTAGTTTTGAAGTCAGTCTAGTTAAATTTTTTGGTAATAAAATTCTTAACTTTTAAACTTGACTCTCTCTATTCTGTTGTCTCTGAGTGAATACATAACGGTTATCTAATCCCTGCAATAAAAAGATCCAATCTTCTGGTTTAAATAACCCTTCGATCCGTAAGGTGGATTCTATATTTCCTATGGAATCCCACGCCTTATGGCTCATTAATTAAAATGTAATGACCTCCATTTCATTACACTTCTTACAAGCCTGCAGATGAAGGCACAGACTTATGTGGATAAAAACTTGATCTTTCTGTGCTGCAGAAGTTAGGTGTTTTCACACCTGAGGATTTGTCACTTATAAAGGAGAAATTTGAACAATTTAATGCTAACCTTCCATCTTCATACGATAGTGATTTTGACTCTTCTAGCTCTTATTCTGAAAGTGATGACGACGATGATTTGTCTTCAGAAAAGAGTGAAGATCAAGAATCTGTCACATCAGAGCATTCCCCGTTGCCCCAAAACAGCAACGGGAAATCGTTTAGATGGGCGGATAATTTTGGACTTCCCTTGTGTAAAAATAAGTTATTAAGAAAAAATGATGAAATTACTCTTCCCAGCCTGTCACCCATTAAAAGCCC